TGATCAGTGGGAATCCTGCTAGGCCCAATCTCATGTATTCTGCTAAAGAACAGCGTTAGAGCTGTTTCTGCCAGAAACCTGCATCTCCACCTGGAACTACGTTAAGCTAAATTTTCGGCTCACAGTTTTTTTGTGGGTTTTTAGAGAGTCTGTCCTAGTCCTAAGCCCATGGAGGCGGTTTTAGCTTGAGGGGTGTCAGGAAGCAGCCTTTCCAGGCGTGCACTCGGCGCCAGCGAGAAGATCCCTCCTGCAGGCTTAGATGTCCTGGCAGAGACTGCTGGTCTGAGGGCTCTTCCCCCACACCCTGTTGGTTCCTGAGCCCCCGAGGAGGGCAGGGAAGTCGAGCAGGCGCAGGCTGCTGTGTTCCCCAATGCTGGGTCTGTGCGTTCTTGCCTGTGGCCGCCCCGGAATTGTCCTCACTCCACGGAGGGAAGATGGTTGTCACTACTGCAGTCGTTCAGGGTTGGTCTAAGGGGCTGCTCAATCGGGATTTCTGCTCTCCTGTTTCTACACTCGGGTTAATAGGAACACTTTACAGAACAATAAGAATTTGTTACCAGCTGCGAGTGTGTCAAGGACTGTGACTAATTTGAGGTCTCCAGAGAAGGGGTGGATTTTGCGAGATGGCCGCCGGGGCCTTTAGCAAATGACGGAACTGACTTTTCTCTTTGTTTCTCCTTCACTAGTTTCATGCTCACCGTTACAGCACGCCCCGAGTGCCAGGTCCAGGAGCGGTAGTGGGCTGGTGACGAGAAATGTGTAGACGTTGTAATTTAAGAGAAACGGTGTCCTGAAGTCAGTCTAAAATGGTGCCACAGGAAAATTCTTTTTTAAAAATCTGATGAGAAAGGAAGTTACCCTGAACGTATGTGCCGACAGGACTGCTCCCAGGTGGAACTGAAGCGGTGTTTTCAAAGTGCTTTACCTAAAGAAGGTTTTGATAAAGAGGGTGCCTGTTCCCCACTTGACCCGAGAGCGCCCCATCGCGTCGTCGGGTGCCACCGAGGCTGCGCGGCGCTGGCACTGTGCAGGCGGCGGGGTCGTCCCCCCAGAGCGGAGCGTGCACAGCGCGGGCAGCCGGAACCCCCGCCGGGCTTCTGGAGCTCTCAGTCGGCCGCGCCCCTTGCTTCGGGCCGCTCGCGTGCCGCTGGGCGGGTGCTGGGGGGGGAGACCCGCTCGTGAAGCGGAGCCCGGAGGAGGGTGGCGGGACGCGCGTGTCCCTCGGGACTGCCGTGACGCCGGGGAGCCGTGACCTCAGCAGCGGGCTGGGGTCTTCCCTGCGCCCCCGGCCCCTGGGCCGCGAGGCTGCTCGGCCCGAGGGGACCCCGGGACGCCCCTTGGCGGTGGCCTGTGGGGGGGACGGTCTGGGGGGACGCCCGTGACACGGGGGCAGGTCAGTCCCGCGTTTTCGTGTCTGTATCTCCGCGTTTCATTCATGAGTTGCTGGGGCAGCGCGGCCGCGGCGGGGCTCTCCGTGAGGGCGGCCTCCGGGCCGGCGGGGCGGCGGGGCGGGCGGCTGTCCGGGGCCCTCGGGCGCGCCAGGCGCCGTGCGCAGGGGGCTCGGGCGAGCGGGGAGGCGGCCCGCGGGAGGGCCGTCCGCGTCCCGGCGCAGGTGTGCCCGCTTGCACGCGCGCAGGTGTGCGCCGTCCGGGCCGCACGCGGCCTCGCCGTAACAAGCCGGCGCTGCGGGCGGCCGAGGCCGAGGCCCCTTCCCGGGGGTCTGTCCCGGCTCAGAGCCCCGCCGGGCGTCCGCGCTGCCTCCGCTCCGGAGCGGGTGAGACGCGCCGCGGGCGCTTCGGGGGTGCGGGCGGGCGGCGCGCGGGGCCGGGGGCAGCTGCAGCTCCGGGCCGGCGGCTCCGCAACGCCGCGTCCTGCGAGCACCCCAGGCCCGGCCGCCGCAGGCCCGGCTGTCTGGGCCCCGGAAGGCCGGCGCGGGGGCCCGTCCCCAGGCCCAGCCCCCCGCGCGGGCTCCCAGCGTCAGGCCCGCGGCCTGCGAGGTCCCGGGGGCCCGGCCACCCCGCAGCCTCCCGCGGTGTCGGGGCGGGATGGCGCGGGCGGGAGCTCCGGGCCCGAGCAGACGGGCGAGCGAGGAGCGCCCTGGGCCCGCGGGGGCTTTTCGGGCTTTTCTTGCGCTCTGACCAGCGCAGGGCCAGGAACGGCCCCTGAGCGGGTTTTCTGACCCGGCCGACCGGGTAGCGGAGGACTCAGAGTCCTCAGTGGCTTTTGCAGGTTTTTTATTGGGGTTCCCCAGGCATGGGGCTGGCAGGGGTGCCGGGGGGCTGGCAGGCCTCCCAGCCAGTCCTCACTCTCCGGTGATCTCTGCCTCTGCCTCTTGGCTTCTCTCGGCTGCTCTTCGGCTGCTGCTGGCGTCCCCGGGCCGCCGCCCTGACAGGCCCAGGTGAAGCCCAGGTGAAGCCCAGGTGAAGCCCCTCTGCGCACGCGCACGCGCGCTCCAGGTGCCGCGGGGCCTGCGTTCGGGACCGCGGGCGGGGCTCCGTCGTGTCTCCTATTGGCCGGAGGGCAGAGAAGCCCGATGCTTTCCCACTTACCCGCCCCGCGGCCGCGGCCGTCTCCCGGGCCCGCTTCTCCCCCGGCTGAGGCGGCCGCGAGCTCCGTGGCCCTCGGCGCTGCCCTGCGGCCTGTGTCCACCTGTGTCCACGGGTGACGGTGGACACGGACCCCCCGGCCCGCGGCCCCCACCGGCTCTCGCGCTCTGGCCGTGTCCTGCTCGCGGCCGCCGAAACCGGCGTGTCCCTCGCCTGACCCCACGCTTTGTGGGTCTCCACCTGAGCGCAGAGCCCCTGGCCCCACGCCCCAGGGCTGTCCCCGGCCCCTACCCCCCCAGCCACCTCCTCTTCCCTGCCGGAGTCCCCCACCTGCCCCAGGACGGCCCTCGCCGGCTCCCAACCCGGCAGCCCCCTCCCGCCACCCGCAGCAGCCGCGAGCCAGCTCCTGAGCCAAGGGGGTGGAAAAACATTTTCATTAGGAGCAAGATTTAAACCCCCTGCGTTGCCCGTCCACCATCTTAACAATCGATCCTGAAAGTAATTGCACCGTGTTGACTTAGTAGACTTAGGGCAAAGGCCATCACAGCTGTTTTTGTGCTTCTAGAATGTATTAAGGTATGAAAAATTATTCGCTGCCAACTTCCAGATTCAGGAGTTGAATGCTATTTTTTTTCTTTCTCTAAGAAACTAATAGTTCATTATAACTTCAGAGTTCCAATTAAAATGATGGATTGGTCGCAAAGCATGACTCAAGAAGTCTGAGTTACAAATGTGGGTCCAGGCAGGTGCTGCTGTACCTAGGCCTCTGTTTGGTCCCCAGACGGCTCTGGCGGGCGTGACTCAAGGTGTCTGAGCGGCTCCTGAGGGGCAGACACAGGCCGCCAGGTGCTGCCCTCATCTTCGACCTCTGCCAACTTCTCCTGAAAGCCTTTTATTATTATTATAGCTTTAATTCATTTCATTTCAGCATATTGTTTTTATGTCATTATTCCATATATTGAATAATGAAACTCAAGCACCAAAATGAGAGCGAGAGAGCGCGAGCGAGCGAGAAGGAACACCTAGGAAGGTGTCTTACACTGCTGGAGAAACAAAGGCTGCTTTTCATCTCATGGGAAGCGAAGAGAGAGAAGTGCTCCCTTGGCGCAAGGACCTGGAGCCCAGCTGCTCCCGTGCGCACCCGCGGCCTGCGCAGACAGGAGGCACCGCAGCTGGGCGCACGGCTCCCGAGGCCGCCCCTGCCCTCGCGGGCTGCCCTGGCGCTGCCTTCCTCAGGCTCTGCGCCCGGCACTATGACCGCGGGCCGCGCGGCCTTACGACTTGGCTTATCAGTGGCACACACGGGAGCCGGTGGCTGGCCCGCTGGCCCGTTGCCGGCGTCTGCGGGGTCCTGCATGTGGCACCGTCGGCTTCTACACCGGACACTCCAGGCACGCTGGGGCGGGCTCCCCCGTCTGGGAGACGGCAGGGCACAGCGCGGCCGGCCGGGAGCTGGCACTCAGAGCGCAGGGCTGCTTCTAGGCCGGGGCAGCGCTGTGCTCAGCCAGATTCAGGAGGGGTGTGCGGTGTCTCCTCCGTGGCTCGGGCCTTGGTGACAACTGTCCCGATGCTGAGCGCTGATGAGGGACGTTGGTGGGAAGGGGGAGGAAGCTGGCAGAGGGGCGCCAGGCATGTCCCCCTGCACCCGTCTCTGGGGACTGAGGGCTGACCGGGTGGCCTGAGAGGCCACAGGTGTGGCTCCGGTGGCGAGAGCCTTGGGCCCCGCCACGCTCTCTGACGAAGCCAAGGGCGTACCTGCGGCGCTGTGTCTAGGGCCACTAAAGACACAAAACAAAACTGACCATTTCCTTTGGCGCTTTCATTTCCTGGCCTGTCCTTTCTTTTGAATAGAAAAAAATGTTCAATGGCCGAGTCTGCTGCTCAGCCAATTGCTGTGATAACATTTTTCAAAACCAATGCTCTTCCCCTTGTCTGAGACTCAGAATCCACGTTTTGTTTGCCCTCAGACATGGCGCGTGAGTGCACCCTTGGCTGCGCAGAGCAGTGTCCTGTGAGGGACGCTGGTCTCACCCTTGACCTCCCGTTTCATAAAAACACTAGTTCACTTAGGCTCCCAGGTACGGTGTGTTTTTTTTAATTAAGACCTGTATAAAAGTACATAATTTTTTAATTTAAAATAAAGGAAACCTTCTTGCTATAGTCACTGACGAGAGCATTTCAGATGGACTATTTTAACATCCAGAGGAGTGGTGGACAGTGGCTGGATCTGGGGGCACGTGGAACTGGTGGACAGACCAACCGTGCAGTTGCTTTGCTTAGCGCCCCAGCCAGAGCCCACGTGGGGCGCAGCTGCAGGTCCCTCCACAGCCTCTGCGGGCGCCCCAGCTCACTGTCGCCCGGCTACGTGCCTGCTGCTCAGATGTCGGTGGGAAGGATGGAGGAAATGCTGTGTCCATCCTAGGTCATAACCCACACGTCTGCCCTTCTCCCCAGGTTCTGAAGACTACTTTGAGGTCAGCACTCCTGCGGACGGAAGAGGGGCCTGGTCCCAGGTGGCCAGCGAGAGCCCGGCTGTGGACCCGCCAGAGGCAGCCTCCCGGTGCCCGGCGCCTCTGGCCGTGGTGCTGCCCACGGACATCCCCTGTGAGGTCAGTAGGTGCCCGGTGGTCCCCAGGGCCTTTCTCTGGCGCGTGGGCCCGGCACAGCTGGCTCCGTATGTCCCGACCGCGTCCTCAGCACCCCGCGCACCGGCGTGGGATGGGCCCGTGACACGCAGCTTTTGAGTAATTGAATGTGGGAGAATCTGTGCAAGCTTAATTACTCAGATGACTTTCTCTGTTGGCAAGAGAAAAGCAGTGACCTCCCATGTGACTTGGGTGGGAGGGGGGTACTTTGGTCAGGATTGAAAGAAAAATCTTCACATAAAAATTGCTGATAATTCCTAGTACAAAATGGATTCTTAAGAAATGTTCGTGCCTTTTCTCTGTGTTTATTATAATCTCATCCCTAATTTTTTATGCCTTTTTTCCAAAAAGATTTTCAGTCACTCCTTTTCTCTTAAGTACATAGATTTAGCTTTTCCACCTTAATAAAATCGCGATGTTTTTAGATTTGCAACCAGTAGTCACCTCAACCTTTGTGGACTTTCATCGTAAATAAGAAGAGCTAGACATTCTCTTTTAGCTAAGATGTGATATTGAATTTTTAAAAATATTCATATTTAAATTTGAAGACATCCTAAAGATAAGCCTGCTTACCTGTCTCACACATGGACAAACGTGCCCACTCTGGAAAGGTGAAGGCGAGGCCTGGGTTGGCTGGAATGAAATGTCCTTGGGGGTCTGTGAGCTGAGGCCCTTTCCCTGAGGCAGGAACTCCCACACCGGAGGAGGCGAGACGCCGGGGAGCACCTGGTTCTTTCCGTTGTAAAATACAGTGTCAGCAGAAAACACTGCGTAGACACGTCTCGGGTGAGCTCAATGAGCAGTGAGAATTGCACTGACGCGTTGCACTTCTGAGCGTGGTTAGAAACACAGACCTGAGAAATGACATACGATGGCCTTGTGCATAAATGCCCTGGCTCACTCGGTCAGTGTAAACGCCTTCAAATGCGTAATCGGGTGCTATTTTTTAACATTCTTACAGAATCCTGGTGAAATGTTTATTCTTTTGAGAGATGAAGTAATTGGTGGCACTGTGGAGGTTGAATTCGCATCAAACGATAAACGCATTAGAACACGGCCAGCCCTTTGGAGTAAGACAGTCTGGTGCATGAAAGCGTTAGGTAAGGATTTTTTTCTTTCTGTTTTGATGAATATAAAACATCATCCTGAGTTTCTTTCAATACATTTATGATCAAAGCTTTCACTTCCCTACAAAACTAGCCTCGCTCTGTAGGTGGCTCCTCTGTTTAGCCTCACACACCGGAGGTGGTGGTTTTTCATCTTAATTTGCAAAAGTACAAATGTGTAAATCATGGGAAATCAGTTGCCTCCCATGCCCTGCAGCTGCCGCCATAGCCTTTCAGGTTCTGGAGCACTTCCTCACAGTCCCTTGTTAAGTTGTCACAGAAGTAACAAATATTTGAATTTTCGCTCATCAACTTCCCCCTGCTCCTCTTTTTTTTTTGTCCCCCATGCCCTTGAGCATATTTTTGATTGTTCTGGAAAATATCCTTTTTTTCAGGCTATTTTATTGTCACAGTATCCTTTCTACCTAGTTTTCCTCTCTCCCAAATTCATGAAGCTAATCGTTTTGTTACCAGTTTTACTTGCATGGTGATAATTTGTATCGAATTTAAAGTTCCACTTGGAACAGCCACACTGGCGAGAATAATTTTGTTAAAATCAAAATGTAGTATGTTAACTTCTGAATGTTTGGACATCAGGCTAGGACTACTTGCTTTTTAAAAAATCAATCATCTCTTCTTTATAATCAGACAAAAGCACCACCTTCTGAAACTTCACTATTGTGTATTTTGTCAAAGAGTCTAAGGTAGTGGATCTTCCTGGTGTGGGTTTGGAAACATAGTAACTATATTTAAAGTGCTTACCCCTCCTCCTGGGCGTCTCTCTCAGAAGGTAACTCCTGTGAGTGCTGTTAAGGGCATTGGCAGGCCTTGTTTTGCGGGGTTTGCTCTGTAGGTCTCCCTGGTTGGCTCAAGTCAGAGTTGGATGCCAGAAGGGAAGGCTGCAGGACGTGTTTACAGCATCTCAGACACGGCTTCCTGTTCTGTACAAGCATATGCTGAAGTGAGGGCAAAAGAACTTGTTATGCCACCTCTTAAAATGATTTAATGAACAACAATTCCTACTAATTAGTTTCAGAACTTATTTCCATCTAGCTAGGCTAAAATCACTGCAGCAAAATCAATATTGCAAATTAAGAAGTACTTAGATAATATTTCCCACATAGCAGATCAAAATGTCAGAATTATTCACACTGAGATTTTGTTCTGTTTACCCAGCGGCTAAGATCAGTACAAAAAATAATGTGTGTCAAAGTTCAGGGGGTTTTCAGAATAGCAGAAAACTAGTAGCCTGTGTTTACCAACACACATCAGGTGGCAATATTGTTTATGTGGCTGAACAACACGTTTGTATTTAAAATCCCCACCATATGTGCAAACGAAGCCTCTCAATCTTCTTTAATACTTACATATTTTGCAAGTGAATGAGGGATTTCCTCGGGCAGGGTCACTGCTGGAAAGGGACCTGTGTGGGAGAGGATGGGCCTCTGGTGCAGCGGGCAGGGTCTTCTTTCCTCTGCCTCCGGGCCCTGTTTCTGGACACTTTTTCCCTAACAAGAGTTAATTTTTCTTCATGGCCAAGCACATCTGCATAAGCACGCCATTAAAACAGAGGTCTGCAAGGCCACCTGGACGAACCCCTTCAGCCTGACCTGTGGGGAGCTCAGCATGCCACTCCTTTTCTAGCAGCATGAAAAAGTGGAACAGCCTGAAAATGAACACCCTTTCTTTACCTCAGCAGAGAACCAGGGCAGCAGATGCAGGAGCTTTCCTAGGCGGGCCCTGCGCAGGACAAGTTGGGGGACAGGAAACCTGGCAGAAGGAGAATTCCAAGTCTCTGCACCCCCGTTGTAGAAATAAATTCTAGCCTTTCACCTGGGCGAGGGAAGAACAAGCAGTACTTCAGGAATGGCGAGGTCAGGAGAAGCTTCGTTACTCTTGCATGAGGTCTCAGACCTGGGGAGCCCCGTAAGGTCTGAGCACCCGTCTAGAGATGAAGGGTGTCTTTTATAGGTAACCATCTTCCATTGATAACATTGGTCAGTTAGCATACAAATTCTTGGCAAAAGTGGGGAAGATACAGATAGTTGAGGATGGCCTGGGAGATCAATCAGCCTAGCTGGCTGCCAGACCTTGTTTAGATATGCTCATTAAGGAAGCAAACCTGTAATTTACACTTACTTTGCATTACCAGGCCTATGACACTTTAGCAGGAAACAGGAAATTTTTTATTTGCTTAGCAGTTCCCGTTTACCCCCAGCAGGGTCCACAAACAGTCCAGCACCCCCCCACCCCCCTAACCCCCACAGGCACCCCCAGCACGTGCCTGCTGTCAACAGCAAAGTCCAAGTCCTGCCACGAGGTGAGACCTGAGTCTGGTCTGGCATTTGCTTCATCTCTTTGGAGTATGTTTTTTCTTGTGGAGAGACAGGACAGGGCAGCTTGGCCTGTGGGTGCTCTCCACGCACCCAGGGCCTGCACTCTGGCTGCTGCAGGGCTGGGATGCGGTCACGTACTGTCCAAGACGCAGCTCATTTCTTGGGGCTGGGCCCAAGGGTGTGGCCGAGGCCCTGCAGCCCCTGCTGCGCTAAAGGGGGTTGAGGTTTCCATAGTCCCAGTTTGTGCTAAAACGCAGTAACTGCATGTGGAGCTTCAAACTAGAACAGTTGCTGATTTTCACTCAGAAGGAAGAGGGCTTTCCTGTGGTACCTGCAGCTCATCCAGGAAAGTATTTCACACAGCAGGAGGGAAACCAATTAAAAGTTGAAAGGAATGTTAAATGTGTCCACCAAGACACCACTGCTCTTCATTAATTAAGAAACTGTGTTTTGGGTGATGCAAATTATAAACTTCCTATTTCATTAAAAGAGCATTGAGGGCCTCCCCGGTGGCGCAGCGGTTGAGCGCTGGGTTGCGAAGCTGCCCGCGGCCTCTGCAGCACCGGTTCGATCCCCAGCTGCTCCCCGGCCACCGGAGGAGGGTCCCACATGGCGCGCAGACCTCTCCTGCCGCCCGCTGCTCCCCTCAGCAGTGTACTTCAGTCCTTCTGCCTGCTCTGCTCCCCGCTCTGGCTCTGGTGAATTCTCTCACCCTCCCGCACTTCTGACTGTACCCAGTGCATGTATAAACAAAACAAACAAATAAACAAATAAATAAATAAATAACATGCTTAGATAGAAAACTCTCTAAGGAAAGATTTACTAAGTAAGCAAACTTGTTCATTACAATTGCATTGGATTATTAGCTGCACCAGGCCTAAGACCCTTTAGCAGGGAGCTGGAAAGATTTATTTGCTTAGCGGTTCCCCTCGCCCAGTGGCCGGGGATCGAACTGGCGCTGCAGAGACTGCGGGCAGCTTCGCAACCCAACGCTCAACCGCTGCGCCACCAGGGGAGGCCCGAATATGCAGTAACTTTTCTGTTGCCGTGATGGTGGACTGCTTTGTGGAGGCAGTATCCACGATGAACACCCAGTCCCCTTGAGCGGCTTCTCCACAAAAAGACTTTAGAAGAATGGGTGGGTGGCATAAATAGCATTTAAACAGTGGGCCATTAAGCCTTGCCCTGCCCAAGGGTTATGATTTCAATGGACTCTACATTTTCTCTGTCTCAACACAATTTTGAGAAATTTGCCTATAATCAATGGAAATTTTCTTCACAAGAGTAGCAACAAACACTTACCTTTTATTGAATGACTTTAGTTCTCTAAATTCTAAAGTATTGTATGAAGAAGACTTTAGATCCTCCCACAAAAAGGAGGACAGTGGGTAGGGAGAAAGGACCTAGCATGTCACCTATAATTTTAACTTACATTCTTATTTTGCAAGTTTTTTTTGAAGTCTAAAATTGTACATTCTCTTTTGTGGGTTTGACTACTAAGGCTAGAAAGAAAAGCGTTAGAGGCTAGTAAAAATGCAGTGAAGGCTTGCATCCATCCTGCTTGTTCTCTGAGATGCAGTAATGGTACGTTCATAAGATGCTCAGCTCCCACCTCTCGCTTGTGTTTTGCAAGATTTCCCCGCTGGCCCTGTGGCTGTCAGCATCTACTGCGACGGACTCATCACGGCCACAGCAGAGATTCAATACCACGCCCCGGCAGGGGCGGCAGGACGCACACCGGGCATGGCAGGGCCAGGGGACGCTGTGTGCCAGGTAAGCGGATCTTCCTTTGAAGTTGATGATGGGTTCATGAGCCGGGGGAGACAGAGTGCAGGCTGTGGGGTAAAGGCCGGCATTGGGTGAACAGCAATGAATTCTCGGTGGTTAGAAGGAAATAAAAGTGAGTGCAGAGATACAGGTGAATTAGTTTGCTTATGTCAAGTCTTTCCAGCAACGACCTCTGGAGAAAGGGTATCCGCTGCCTAATAGCTATTTTGATGGGCTCATTTTAAAGCTGCTCCACAGCAGATAAAAACAGAAGGCTTAAAGAGAACATTTAAGGAATTAATTTCTCCTGCACCCAGATCAGGATGGTGTAGAATAAAAGACAAAGTCAGATCATCAGATGCTTTGAGGTTGAGTCAGACAAACCCAGAAGGGGAATGCTGCTCCTGTCAGATGGGTTTCATTTATCTCTGCTACCCACAAGTGGTCACTTCTGCTGAGTGGATGGGGTTTATCAGGAATTGCAGAGACCGTAACTCTGGGGAGTGATTTGAAGAGGCACCTGCCCCAGGGGCCCTCGCTGGGCTTCTCCTTGAGGGCGCAGCCTGAGCTCGCCTGTCCTCCTGCCCCAGCTTTATTTTAATTAATCTTAGACCAGTCGTGACTTCTGCATTTATTTCACTGTTCCTTACCTGGCCCACTTTCGCCAGAAAGAAAGCCTGCTTCGTGTGAAGCTTTGATCCTGTGTATGCACGTCCATCAAAATTCCAGAGTGAAGTGAATGTCACTTCTTTTTATAGCTACTTGATAATTAGATTACACCCTTACCTAATTGCTTCTTTTTTTGGGGGGGGGCGGGGGGAGAGAGAGCAGGGATGAAGAGGCTGCACACAACAATGTGCCCTGCAGACCTGCCAGGAGCCCCAAGCGGGCCTGGCCCCCGGTGCTGGTGGCTGCAGGAGGCCTTCTGCGTCCCAGCCAGTTTGGAGTCAGAGGTTTTGTTATTTATTTCCATGACACATTTTTCTATTAGAGTTCTCCTTTATGAATGACATGTTTTGAACAATAGGAAAGGTAAAAATGCCTTAGAGAAGGGCGGGGGGGGGGGTAAAATGCCATTTGTCATGCTGGGGAGTTGGAGGACATTTGACACAATGTCTCTAGGGTATTGCAAAGCAAGAGCAGAAGCCATAGTTTGAAATAGAGATTGCTTCATTTTTGTGAGACAAGTCTACCTTATCTTCTCCTTGAGAAATTATATTCATTGCCTACAGATTAAGAGCAGTAGTATACTGCATTATCAGTGCTCCATCACCATGGAAGTGAAATAGATCCTAGACACATTTTTGTGTTGTTTTTGCCTCTGGGGAAGGAAAAAGTCCTTTATGTCCAGTGAAGGCAAAGTGTAATTTACGACTCATGGACAGTTTTTCAGGAGCTGTGAAAGGCAGCTCGTGATTTCTTCTACAGCTGTAGTAAACAGACTTATTTGGGGGCATAGATTTTAGGTAAGTAGAAAGTGCGGTTTCATTTGCACCCTCGTGTCAGAGATGAGAGGTGACAGAGGGTGGTGATTGTGTCTCAGGATTTCTCCTGTCTGGTCAGGCTCTGCCTGCCGAGTTAGGGTCTGCCACGAGGGGGCGTTGCCAGGGTGCGTGTGGGGCAGCGGCTATCCTGACTGGCCGAGGTCTGGCCCGGGCCTGAGACAGGAGAGACCGGTTTGTCACCCCAGAGGGAAGCGATGGTTTCACAGCAGTGCTCTGTGCAAAGAGAGTGAGCAACTTCAAGGCTGAGCTCTGAGACCAGGCGAAGCATGACCCCCCCCAGGGGACCGGAAAGGCTGGGCCCACCCAGGTCCCGGTGAAGGTGTGGGTGGGGTCCTGTGGCCTCCATAGGCCAGCACCCCGCTCACCCCACTGCTGTGAGATGAGGGCCGTCTTCCTCGGAGGAAGGCAGGCTCGGCCGTGCTGGGCTGCGGTGCAGAGGCAGGCGTCCTGGCCCAGCATGGGGGCAGGTGCCTTTCCCCTTACACTTGGCTTTGTCCCACCTAGACTGACTCCTTAAACTATATAAGAGGCTGTGTCTTTCCTCCGCCGTGTGTGACATTTGTAGTAATTGCTATTCTGAGCACGACTCCACCAGTCAGGAAGTCTGGGTGTCTTGTGGCTAGTCCCTGCACGGCCTCAGTCAGAACAGTGCACGCGTGCTTCTGTGGACCATGGCGGGTGTGTGTTTGAGGGCACATGCCAGCGGCTTTGGTCTTCTTAATGTACTAAAATAGGACATGAGTTTTCCCATGAATTTCAGCGGCCCGTGTGATTTAAGTGATCCAGAATCAGTACACAGACTCTTTCTATAATCCTCTAAAAGCTATTGGGGATACAATAGCATGGACATTCTGTGGCTCTGAGGAAAGGAATAATAATGAGAAATCTGTGGGTTTTATTTTTCGGGAATTCTAGAATTTCTAATAAGAGACATTCTCTTATCATTTCAAAGCTGTTGGGTAGGAAGCAAAATGACAGTTCTATGAATCTCAGAAAGAAAATGATAATGAGGAGTTTGGTTTTCTTAGTTTATTTTTAATGAGGCCCGTTAGGGTACAGGATACTTCACCTAACCTGGCTTGATTATCGAACTGCTTCCTCCGTCATCTTTTCCGGGCAGACGCAAAACCCAGCACGCGGCCTCCTGCGGCGCAGCCTGTAGAGTAGCGTCGTCAACGGTGAGCTTAAGAGCGAGCCAGATGAAAAAGCCCGAAGCCCAATTGGGGAAGATAATGTGAGTTCAAGTAGTAGGGTGGGAAATAGTAGTGACTGCTATTTAACTGAGATAATTCAACCCTTGGAGACTTTCATCCTATTTTCAAAAGCATCTAGAGGCCAAATTAAGGGAACTTCCTCGCGGAACCCCCAGATACACTATAAGACCGAATTAGGTCAGGATGCTGTGAGAACACGGCGGTTACCCATCAAAGCTTCAGGAGCCCGCGTGCTGCAAGTGTTCCAGAAATGACACCCGTCCTCCCTCTCGGCTGGTTCTTCCTGGTAAAGGGGCCCCCGTGTTGCGTGCATTTGTCGCGTGCGTGCTCTGTGTGCTTGGCGAGATCTTATTTCCGCCTTCCCGTGGGGCGCCTGATGGCCGCCGCTCAGTACATCGCAGCTTGCTCGGCATTCGCTTTCCTGCTGCAGATCTGGAATGGCGTCGAGCCCGACGGGCCTCGTGAGGGACGCTGCGGGAGTCCGACACCAGAGGCCTTGCCCGGTTTTCAGTCGGGCCTTGAAAGGCTCTTTATTTTGTTTTCGCACTTGAAGACCGGGAGTTGGCAGGCGTCCCCTTGCAGGGCGCTCCGGGGACTCTTCCCGCTGGAGATGCCGGGAACCGCCGGGCTGCTAGGCCACTTTTTCCGTCCTTGTCTCTCTCGCAAGGCTGGTGGAAACTGTTCCAGGTCTGGATCTGAATTCCAGGGTGAGGGTGCGCACCCCCACCCTTCCCGGAAGCCATCCTCATCAGACCCGGCAGGCTATGCTCTTCGGAAGTTGACTTTTGGTGTTTGTTTTGCTTCTTCCCCTTTTATGGCTGTGTTAACTTTTCATGGAAGCACCTCTGTTGTGCGGCCTTGCTGTGCTGTGACCGTGTGGGATGCCCCCTCGGCTCTAGTCACCCCCTCCAGACAGCCCCAGGCCCCCTCATGAGCAGGGATGGCAGGTGAGGACCTAAGGCCTAAGAAGCGTGTCAGGCAGTTGGAAGGACAGAATGTGTGCATTTCCTGTAAACCGCAAGAGCGCGCCTTCCTGTCCAGAAACTTCTGTGGAAGAGCTGTGAAGTTTCCAGTCTCCACCTTCCCCGTCCTGCCAGCGTCACCTGAAACACTCCCTCGCCCTCCGGGCCCTGCTGCACAAGGCCCACAGCCCTCCACGGGCTCACCGGGTCCAGGACTGCCCCGTCCCCTCGGCTGCTGTGTCCTCGCCCAACATTAGGCGGGCTGTGGCGTCACCGCTGGGCACCCAGATTCCCTCAGCCGGTGTCTGGTGCGTGGGCATGACTGCTAGTTACTGCATAAAAAAATGAGAGAACGCAACGATTCTGCTGCCTGAAGCCTGATGGTGCGGAAATTTTTGACCCCCCCTAGAACAAGGTTAAAAAACCTCCGAGGGGTTCGCACGAGCTGCCCCTCCAGCGGGCGGTGGGGGGTGGCATTTAAGGCAGATTCCCTGGGACCCTGGTTGCACGGCCTCTGAGCGAACTCACGTTCACAGAAAGCAGATTCACGCGTTCAATTTTGTAAATAAGTGTATTTGAAGTAAAACGGGCGGCGTTTGCGCTTCTCTGTCTTCACTGGAGAGCCGCAGGCTCGTCCTCCCAGCGCGCAGGGGCCCAGCGGCCGGCGCCCGCGGCGGAGCGGCCCGCCAGGCGCCCCAGGCAGCGGGGAGCCGGCGCTGACCCTCGCGGCTGGGGCGCAGGCGGGGCGGGCCGCGCCCTCTCGCCCAGACGGCTGCCCCGCGGCTGCTCCCCGGGCCTTGGCGGCACCTGGCCTTCTGGGGTGACGGCCTTCGCTGTCGCGGGCGCCCGGCAGGCTGCCGCTCCGCCCCCGGCCGCGGCGCCTCTCCCCTCCGGCCCGCCCCGGGCCGGCTCCCCGCTCTGTCCGTCCCGGAGGCGCCGCCGAGCCGAGCGCGGCTGACCGCGGTGTCCCCTCTCCCGCGCAGGCCGCCCCCGCGGAGCTGGACGCCGCCCTCGCCGGCCTGCTGAGACGCGAGATGCCCGGCTACGCGTTCCCGCCCCCGGCCGCCGCCCGCGCGCAGGACGAGCGTGAGTACAGCCGCGCCTTCGGGCCCCGGCCGGGCCGGAGACGACGCCAGGGCCCCGGGCGGCACCCCGGCCCGGCCCGGCCCGCCCCCGCCGGCCCGCAGGCGCCCCGGCCCAGCGCGAGTGCGCGGACAGGCGGCCTCGCCCACGGGTCCTGGCACCCAGGGCGGCGGCGCCCCCTCCGGCGCGTGGCTCGCGGGCGGGCGCCGCCGGCACGTGCGGGGCGGGCTGCGTCGCGGGGTCGGGGCGCGTCAGGTCGCGTGGCGGGGCGTGGGGGGCTTCGCGCGCTCCCAGCTTCCCGCGCCCCTGCTGGGAGCGCGCGGCGGGGCCCGGTCTGTCTGCGGCGCGGCGCGGCGTCGGGCGGCCGAGGCTCCCGCCCTCATGCGCCCGGAGCCCGGGAGCCGCGCCCGCGAGGGCTCACCCTGGAGGGCCGAGGGATGAGTCTTGCTCGGCAGCTCGAAGCCGCTGCTTGGGCGGGAGCTGCGCGGTGGCCGCCCTGGTGAGAGGCGCGCCTGTGCCCGCCCCGACGGCGCCGCCCGAACGCCGGGCGTCCGCGCGCTGGAACCGTGGGCGCGCGGCGCCTGCCGAGGCCCGGCCCGGGGCGCGGGGACCAGGAGAGGCGGGCGCCCCGGCCCGGAGGCCGCTCCCCTCGCCCTTCCGCGCCCCAGGCGTCCGCGCGGGCGGCTTCGGGCCGAGAGCGGGGCAGGGGGACAGCCGAGCGGTTGCCCCGCGGGGCCGGGGCTCGCCGTGTCGCCTGGGCCGCCCGCTGCGGCTTCCTCGGGACGCGGCCCGCGCTTCTCCCCCGCCGGCTCCCGGCCCCGCACCGCGGGCCTCTCTGCCGCCTGCCTCGTGGGCGTCCGGCCGCCGTCTGCGCTGGCGGCGGGAGCCTGGACGGCCGCTTCGGCACAGACTCCACCTCAGCGCCGGGTCGTCGGCACAGGCCGAAAACTTTTCTTTGAAATGTGTGGCCGGTGTCTGCACCGCCACGCACGCAGCCCGCCGGTCCCCCGCCTCGCTCCCGGCACGGCGCCCGCGCCGGCCCTCTGGCCCTGCGGCCCTGCGGCCCTGCTCTGCAGGTGAGCAGCCCCCCGGCCCTGTACTGCTCAGAGAGCGGCCCGGTTTCCTTCCTTGCCTAGTTTGTTTTATGCAACATTTTTGGAGAACAAAGCCGGTGCTAGGGCGCGGGGAAGCCCCAAGACAGCGCTCGGAGCTGCTGGCTCATCCCGGGGCCTCAGTTGCCTCACTTATAAAAAGAGAAGGTCAGGGTCAGACTTGTGGGGCTGAGGCCACCCACAGGCGGCTTTAGCCAACAGACTCTGGAGGGGTTTTCCTGGATGCTGAAAAGGTCAGGGGGGTGCAGAACTTTCTTAAGCCCACAGGCCTGGCTGCGAGTGGGGCTGGAAGGCAGAGCCCTGACGTCTAGTCCTGCGTGGCCCTCGCTGCGCTGTGCTGCGGCCGCCACCCGGCGACCTGCTTGGAGTGAATATTTGCCGTTGCAGATTTATTAAACCCGGTGAGCCGGGCGGACGGGCAGCTTAAAGGGTGGTCAGGAGCTTCCGCGTCCAGGCTCATCTCGCTTTCAGATTGCCGTCTCAGGGTTACGGCCCGACCTCACTGTCCAGGGCGAGCTACGTTAATCACCTGAAAGCTCTGGCTCCATGACTTCCACCTAGCGATCGGCCACCCTGTGTGGGAATTGCACGGCGCTGCTGGAGCAGGCATGGCCGGGGCGCGGAGCCGCTTGGTGTCACCGCGGTTGTGCTTCCTGCTCTACTGCGCGCAGCCTCGTTGTAGTCTATAATGCATTTTAATGCAAATGGTATTTTGTGATGCATTTTAATGCAGAAAAATTAACACCTGTATGTTAATACCTTTTGAAGAAACCACAATGTGTCTGCTTTGAAAATGGGCACCTACTTTAGACAGTTTCAGCTTTTATAAGCCAGTCTTTCTCCATCTTCATCAAATATTTGGAGAGCTCGGCCCACTGCGCAGGATATGACGGACATTCACCACCGACATGACCACAGGGTTACAGGCACCATTTAGTTCTAATGCATTTTGCTTTTTTTTTAACCTCAAAGTATAGTGCTCTTTACCTGTTTTTTCAGCCTGCATACCTTCCCTCTGTTCCCTCTGGTAACCATTATCTTCTCTTGGCAAAGTTCAAAATTTTATTTCTTCCATTGTTTCCATGTAATTGTTTTGGGGGTATTTATAGTCCACAGATGAGTGAGAACTGACTTTTTGGCTGATTTCACTCAGCATAATCATCTCAAGATCGTCCATTTTGTCCCACATGCCCCTGATCCATCTTTCTTCATAGCTGTATAATTTTCTGCAGAACGTATACTGTACTGTTTACCCATCCATCTATTGATGGGCACTTGGGTTGGTTCCACAGCGTGGCGACTGTGAACAGTGCTGATGCGTGCATAGGTGTAGATGGATCTTTCCTGCTAGGTTTGCCATGTTGTTTGGATAAGTAGCTAACCGTGGGGTGGGGGATCAAATAGAACTGAGCATGATAATCACTCTGGGTTGGTCGTGTAAATGCTCTTTTTGTGATGGACAGGCTCCCGCTTTGGCGTCTGCTGCGATGGTAGTGTGGTCTTTGCCTTCCTTTTTGCTGATATGATGGTGACATTGATTGGTTCTACCTGTGTTGAATCAGCCTTGCGTCCCGGGGATGAAGCCTGTGTGATTACGGTGGGCGATTCTCCATATGTCGCTGTATTCAGCGTGCTAGGGTTTCGTTGAGGACTTCCGCACCTATGTCCATTTTAAAGAGCAGCATATTTCCTTGCAGTGATTCCTCCAGTGCCCTGAAGGGTTCTGTTTTGTTTTCTCTTAAAGTGTACAAACCAACAAACTAAATAATTTACTTGACCCTGAAACACCCAATTCACCCAAGTGAATTGAAAAATCAGGGTTTAATTCTCTTCTGTTTTCTCTCTCTCTCTCTCTCTCTCTCTCTCCCCCTCTCTCCTTTTCCTTTCCTTTCCTTTCCTTTCCTTTCCCTTTCCTTTCCCTTTCCTTTCCCTTTCCTTTCCCTTTCCTTTCCCTTCCTTTCCTTTCCTTTCCTTTCCTTTCTTTTCTTTTCTTTTCTTTTCTTTTCTTTTCTTTCCAAACTAGCATACAAGTAAACAAGTTCCAATTCTCAGTTTTCAAAAACCTAAGGTGACTGTTTCCCCTTTGCTTTGTGCTGGGAGAGAACTGGCTCTTTCTGACGCCTTTGTTTCTGTTGCTGTAAGTCTGCATAATGCCACACCTTTCTAAGCAAGGGGGTAAGCAATTGCTACGGCACAGTTTTTCCAGTTGGGTGCAAAAGTATAAAATAACAACCCATCAGCTTGTGTGTGTGACCAGACAGTCATGGGGGCAGTGGCCACAATTACTATCATTCCCCGTGGCTGACGCCTCTCCTAGATCACAGGTAGGGGGAATGGTGAGCTCGAGCTCTAAAACTGTGGCCTGAAAGCTGTAAAGTCCTGTTGGCAACTTCCTACTGAAGATATTTATGAGCTTTGCTTGCTTCTATTTTCTCTTGCAGTTATTTTTTGTGTGTTTTTTTTTTTAAGATTTATTTAGTTATGCACACAGGAGCTGGGGTACAGGCCAGAGATGCGGGGGGTGAGAGGACTCACCAGAGACAGAGCAGGGAACAGAACAGGCAGACTGAAATACACTGCTGAGGGGAGCAGCGGGCGCGACAAGAGAGGTCTGCGCACCATGTGGGTAGCTCCCTAGCTGGCTGGGGATTGCTTCATAGTGTTGTGTTTAACCCGTTGCACCACCAGGGAGGCCCTGAAGTTACTAATTTTTTAACTGTATTTTTTTGAAAGATTTATTATTTATGTAAGAACCGGGGTACAGGCCAGATGTGCGGGAGGGTGAGAGGACTCACCAGAGACAGAGCGGGGAACAGAACAGGCAGACTGACTGAAATACACTGTTGAGGGGAGCAGCGGGCGAGACGAGGTCTGCCGCGCCATGTGGAACCCTCGCCGGCCAGCCAGGATCAAACCGGCACTGCAGAGGCTCCGGACAGCTTCACAGCGCGGCGCTCAACCGCCTGCATCACCAGGAGAGGCCCCTGCAGTTATTTTTTGAAAGAAAAAAAACACTTAGAAATCTAATGAAGGCCCTCTGGAGACCTGGTGTTTGCCCACTAGGCATGGCGGTAGAAAACACAGAGGGTTCTCATAGAGGAACCTGTTTAGCGTTTGGCTAATGCTGAACTGTATGCAAAGGAGTTGCTCCAGGATGAAGCTTCTGTTTTGTTTTGTTTTGTTTTACATGAAAGAGGCTGATGCAGCTTCCTAAGTTCAGCCTCCCCAGCCAGTAAGGGCAGACGTTAGCTGGTGAGAACGTCGTTTACCGGTTCACGGAAAGGAGAAAGGGCATCGCACTGCTGAAACCACCGATGGTTTCTTATGTGCAGATGGGCGCTGCCGCGGGCTGACACTGCCCCGCTGTGGCCTGTGGGCTTGCAGAGGCGCTCACACACATCCTCTTCCTCTCTGTGCGCGCAGACCTGTGTTTCCAAGAGCTCCCAACCTTCCTCCACTGCGCAGCAAAATTTGGCTTGAAGAACTTGGCTGTTCACTTGCTTGGCCGCCCCGGAGCAGCGCAGGCGTTGCGGGTGAAGAACGTGGCGGGGTCAGCCCCGGCGCAGGTGGCTGAGCAGCACGGGCACACGGAGCTCAAGGAGATACTCGAAGGCTTCTCGGTAAGTTTTTTTTCTCTCCAAAACTGTTGATAAAATGATTGTGCGTGCACACCCGTGTCCAGCTCGCAGGAAACGATGTGCCTGAGTGGTCAGCGTGTGCTGACCCGCCATGGCCCGCAGAGCCTTCCGCAGGGCGAGTCGGTGAGCGTGAGGTCACCGCTGCGGCTCTGCCTCCAGCCCCCACCCGCACGCGCCTTCGTAAGACCGACCTGGGCGCTCCTGGCTTCTCTGCAGCCAGGTTGAGTTGGGAGAGTAGCTGGTCCTGAGGAAGTGAGCGCGTCATGTCCACGCTCACGCGCCGGAGCTGGACGCTGGCAGCATGCGGGAGGAGCGGCGGTTGGGAGGGCGAGGAAGCCGTTCTGATACTTACTCAACAAGTGCCATCGGAAGCCGGTCCCCCTCCTTGTTAGCGGCAAGATCCTGGTTCTAAAGGCTGCAGCCCCGCGTCCCTCCGTGCTCTCGGCAGGGTGGCAGCTTTGTGAGAATGCGCCTGCGGGAAGAATTTCAGGGAGGGTTTGCGACCTTAGTACCTAAGACACATTTTGTTTGATTGTCAAATTTAGAGAGCAGTTGGTTTCTGCTTATAAAAAACAACTCTGCACATTTCTGTCCAGAAAGTGAACTGCCCTTCGGCGGTTCTCAGTCCAGCACAGCGGGACGAGGATGCCGTCTCCCGCACCGTGTCCTCCCAGCAGCCCTCGTGGCGCTGCGCGGCAGAGCCCACCCCGGCCAGACCCACTGGCCCCCAGCCCTGACTCCCCGCCTGGAGCTATGCCCTCCCCTCGTCTCCACCCTCCTGTCGCTGCCTCCTGGCCCCGTCACGAAGGTCCTCTGTGCCGTCTTCTGTCGTGGTGACGCCTGAGCCACCGCCCTGTCTGCCGCCCGGGTTTGTACACTGAGTGCGTCTTGCGCGAGCTCCCAGATCTCAGCGCGCCCACACGACGCTCCCCTCAGCCCGGGTAGTAGTGGTATTTATTGCTTATCGACGTGAAGCTCTAATGTCAACTTCAAATCTTCATCAGAGCCACACGCCCCAATTAGGGCCCCGCCGTGCCCGGAACCCTGGGTGATGCCCAGCTGTGGCCTCACCTGCCCCCGCTTGCATGTGCGCGCGTCCCCTCCCGACTTCCAGGGGAGGAAAGAGTCACAGCACGCAGCAGCTCCCCCGGCGTCTCCCAGCCGCCCACACAGCTGGCTAAAGCCTGGCTCCTGTCCAGCCTCCCCGTCCCTTACCTTGCGGACCACTCGGCCCCCAAACCTGAACAGCCTCCTCATGCCCCCCGCCCCCCGTGCCCTCCTCCGTTCTCCAGCTCCCTGCGCTTTGCCTTCACCCTCACCCCCCACCCCCGTCTGCTGTCCAGGAGGCTCCCAGGTCTTTCTGCCCGCCTGGCCTCTGCCAGGTGCCTGCTGGGTCCACCAGGCCCGCGCAGCCCCTTCCTCAGCTGCTGAGGCCCACCCGTCCCGTCTTCGCTGTGTCCTGTCAAACCGCGACCTTTCCCGAGAACTGCCCTCCTCTGAGGAAATGCCCTCGTCTCTGACATGCACCTACATCTCGGTTCAGGCTCCGTCTGCTGACTCTCTCCCCGCTGCACCCCTGCAACCTCCCGGTGGACGTAGGGGGATGCGGGACAGCCTCGTATAGACAGCTCGGTGCGTCCCTGCAGCCCAGGGAGCCTGGCTGTGGTGCTGGAGCAGCTCGACTGCCCGCTGCAGTGTCCTCCTCCGTGACAGGGTGAAAGGGAGCCGGGCACAGCCCCCGACACCCACCTGCGGCTCTGGGCACCCAGGGACCATCCCGCCGGCTTGCATAGCTCTGCTCCCAGCCTCAGCGGGCACCTTCGTTTGTGGAACCCCTCGTAGTTCACAGGGACATTGAAAGGCCCGCATTATCTGCTTGTTGTTTTCAAGTCAGTCTCCCTGGTAGATTACGGATTTTGGAGGCGAGGGCAGTTCCCTCTCGCTCACCAGGAATCTCTGTACCCGCAGGTCCTGGCAGGCCCCGGGGCCCCTCACACTCTGCACGGCCCCGTCGTCGCAGGCCGTGGTGCTGGTTGTGCCAACTCCCAGCTCCTGGAAGCAGGCCACGTGCGGGAGCCTCCCTGGGGAGGCGTTTATCAGCTAAAACCTGGACAGTTGTTTCTCCTAGGAGAGCCTGCGTATGTGCTGATTGGACACGCTTTTCCAACGTCAGAAACGTTATTTTTCTGTCTTTAAGACAGGTGACTGTGGGAAAGAAAAACTGGTTTAGGAGAGACATTAAGCCCAAACAGAAAAAAATCTAGTAGCTTCCAGAAACTGACATTAGTGAGGCAATGTGTAAGGCTGTTTGTTACCACAGTGCCGGCAGTTTAGATCTCGGCAAATATTCCAGTGTTTATTGTCAATTGTCTCACTTCATCTTCCTGAGACTCCCCAAATCCTGCACAACTTCCATCCTGTAAGAACTAGATTCAGGCCAGCAGAATGCATGGAAACATTGCTCACCACACCTACCCCTCATTTACCTAAGTACTATTTTGTGACATTTTCTAGTATCATTCTTACTAAAATTTATTTTCTTAGACTACCTAGATGTTACAGTTTTCTAGTTTATAACACGCTCTCCTAGCAACGTCAGGCGTCTGCGTGGTGCACACCCCGGGTAAGGTTAGTGCTTGTCATTGCATCAGAGGTGCAGGGAAGGGGAGAGGGCGGCTCCTCCCACTTGCTATTGTCCATGAAAGCGACTCTGGGCTGGCGACCCGACCTGGGCACAAGGCTCCTTACTCGTGGCCTTTGCTGATGGGTACTTGCTATGAATGATGCATGAATGGTTTGCATGAGTAGTGGAATGATAAGCCCTGAGATTGGGGCAAGCCCTCCAGAGCATGAACAGGGACGTGCAGGCTGGGCAAGCGTCCCAGACCAGAGGGGAGGCGGCCACGCCTGGCGCGAATGTCATATGAAGTGAGGCCGCTGCTCATGTTAAGTCTGCCAGTGTCAGCCCCGTGGATCCCTGGCCTCGGGCCCAGAGCACCGCCTGAAGTTGGTTGGCTCACCTCTTTCCTTTTGTTCCATGTTGCTGTGACTTCACAGAGGGAGGGCGAGGGAGCCAGCAGCCTTTCTGAGATGCCTCCGGGCGAGCGCCCGTACCCACCTGTGTGGCCAGCGCGCTCCACGCCCATCTCACAGACAGGAAGTTAAACCTCAAGGCCCGTCGTTTCTTTGGGGTCATGCATTCCTCTGCCCAAGCACATTGCTCAAGCAGACATTGCTCACCTTTGCATGCGATGCTTTATAAAACTACTGTGAGCCTCTGTCTTCTGCAGGGTTGGATGCCATTGGTCATGAGCGTTTGTATTCATTTTTAGTATATTTTCTGGAAATTTACAACTGCGTCAGTAACCCTGTTGAATCTTCTATGGAAGCAAACACGCAGGATTGTCAGCCCTGGAGCCAGGAAAGGAGGAGGGGAGCCTTCCCTGTGCGCACGGAAGGGCTTGGTCTGGGCAACACACAGAGATTGTGATTTTATTTATTTCTGTGCATTTTGATTGTGGGAGCAAATGCTTGGACCCACCCTGCTGGCTGTTGGGAAGGAGCGGGCGCTGCCACCCTGAGGGCCATGTCCAGGGCAGCGGAGGCTGCAGCTGAGGCTGGGTTGGCCAAAGCAGCGATGGCTTCGGAGGGGAGGACGTGGATTTGGTGCCCGCTGAGGACTGTGCTTTCCTCTTCTACGGAAAAGGGGAAACGTGCAGTATCTCCCAAGTCATGAGCGCGGCGGGCGGGAGCCCCTTGGTGGCAGTGTGCTCAGCAGCAAAGGCCCGCTGGCCAGAGAAAGCCTCTGCAGAGCTGAAACGGCTCACGACGAAGTGGTAGCCTCGCCGAAGATGCAAGTAGAGGAACAGAAAATGTCCAGAACTCCTTCATAAATATTAAAGTCCCCAGAATGGAAGCATAATGGGAACAATTGAAATCAGATGACACTTTCCCTAAGAACAGAAATCCTGAGCAGAATTGTAAATTAGAAGCTTTTAGAGGAGAGGTAGAAAGGATGCATCGGGAGGGCCGTGTGCACCCAGCGAGGCAGGGCCAGAGGCTGAGTCACTCTCCCCACCCCCTGCATCGCACAGCTCAGCCCCTGCCTGCAGGCAGGGATGAGTGCCAGGGCCTGTGCCTGCTTCTTTGCAGCTTTAATATTTAATGTGGTGTTTTAATGAATTGCGTACCAAGAAGTTGGCCCTAGAGCTGAGAAGAGCTCATAAACACATTGATGGTAGGTTTGAAAAAATCTAGGCGATAGCTTTTTTTTTTTTTTTTAAGATTGATTTATTTATGCATACAAGAGCTGGGGTGCAGGCCAGAGGTGCGGGGGTGAGAGGATTCACCAGAGACAGAGTGGGAAACAGAACAGGCAGACTGACTGAAACACACTGCTGAGGGGAGCAGCAGGCGAGTCAGGAGAGGTCTGCTGCGCCATGTGGGCAGCTCCCTGGCAACCTCGTGCCAGGGATCAAACTCATGCTGCCATGGCTGCGGACAGCTTCATAGGTTGCGTCTTAACCCCTTGTGCCACCAGGGACGCCCGATAGGATTTTTTTTTTTTTTTTTTTACTAAAAATTTTAAAAAAATACAGTGAAATAAATCGAGACACTTTCCATTCCTTTACCCTTTTTGTGGAAGGACTCTGTCTTCTAAATGTTTGTCGTCATCAATTCAAGACAGAAAAAGAGTGAAATAGACTACAAAGCAAAAGAAAATTATTATCTTTGATTCGACATTGAATACTACAGACACCTTGTAAGACAGTAGGAGAAAGAGAAATAGTGGTTGCCATCTAAAGGAATTGTCATCAGTACTATATTATGAATTATTTTTGGTAAAAATAATTTTTTTTGAAAGTAGATTTGTTGACTTTCAATAACTTGTATCAGTTAATAATTAAGGCAGCCAGGGCCTCCCTAGTGGCTCAGCAGGTTGAGCGCAGTGCTGTGAAGTTGTCCGCAACCTCTGCAGTGCC